ATAGGTTGACCAAGAGTATCCAGTTTTTGGCCATCAGGAGAGCTATTCGGCCGAAAAGTTGGCCAATTTGTATGTCCTGGAGATTGTTGCTCGTCATGGGGTTCTAGTCTCCATTGTTTGAGACCAAGATGTTCGGTTCACTTACTGATTTTGGCAGAAGTTCCACGAGGAACTGGACACGAGGCTACATTTTAGCACTGCTTATCACCCACAGACCAACGGTCAGAGTGAGCGGACCATCCAAACACTTAAGGATATGTTGCGGGCTTGTGTCATAGATTTTGGTGGGAGATAGGATTCCTACGTACCTCTTGTGGAGTTTTCTTACAACAAAAACTATCACTCCAGCATTGGTGCCCCACCTTTTGAGCTCTTGTATGGTCAGAGATGTCGTACCCGACATGTTGGGGAGAGTTTGGTCACAGGGTCATGGGAAGGACCGAAGTAGTCCTGCAAACCACGAAGCTTATTCAATAGATCAGGTAGAGACTACAGACAACTCAGAGTCGGCAGAAGAGTTATGCTGAAAGGCGCCGATCAGAGTTGGAATTTCAGGTCGGTGATATGGTATTACTGAAGGTCTCACCCTAGAAGGGTGTGATACGTTTCAGGAAGAGGGGGAAATTAGGTCCCCGATATATTGGACCATTCCATGTGATCGCCAGGGTAGGCAGGGTGGCCTACCGGTTGGATTTGCTGAGTGAGCTCAGTCAGATCCACAACACTTTCCATGTCTCTAAATTATGAAAGTGTTGTTGGACGGTGAGGTAGTGGTCCCTTTGGATGATATTCAGGTTGATGAGCGTCTGAATTATATTGAGAGGCCGGTGGCTATATTGGAGAGAAAGATGAAGGTCATGCGCAACAAGGAGATATCTTTGGTAAAGGTTTAGTGGCAACATCGAAGAGGCTCCGCGTGGACCTGGGAGCCGGAGGCTGAGATGCGGGAGCATAATTCTAAGTTATTCTCGATGGACGACTTCGAGGACGAAGTCTAGTTCAAGTGGGGGAGAATTGTAACACCCTGATGTCAAGGTAATTTCAATTTCAACCCTATGTTTGAATAATATTGTATTTTAGCCCTTGGGATTGAAAATGATTGCAAATTGGCCCATAGTGGCAATATGGTAATTTTGTCCAGGTATAGTACGTTGAGCGTACGTTGTGTACGCTAGGCATAGTAGGGTGCACCCTAGCACGCAGGACGTACACCTCGTATGTGGGGTGTACGTGAAGAAAGTTCAAACCCAACATTTTAGGGTTTGGTCCATATATAAACCCCATTATAGCCTCATGTCTAATTTCTTCATCAGCCCCCCTCTGTAAAAAATGACCCCAAGCAAACCCTAAGTGAGAAGAGTGTATTTTGAGCCCATTGGAGTGTTTTGGAGGTGTTCTTGCAGAAGAAGAAGGTGGTCAGAAGAGCTTGGAGCTTGGAAGCATCTTGGATCTGAGATTTCCTTTTTGTTAGCAACCTCCAGGAGGTATAAAGTTTACAAGTTGATCATTCCATCTTGTAGATCTAGACATTTCTTCCTTTAAGACACCTTCTGTCCCAAATATGGCGATTCTTGAGCATGGTATGTTCTTGACCCAATAAGTCGTCCTTTCAGACCTTAGGAGGGGTCTTAAGTCATAAAAATGTGGCATTAATGGTTAGTTTTGCTCCATGCATGCTATAGAAGGTCTTAATGCATTAAGATGTTGAGATTTTGTGTTTTAAGCACTTAAAGGACATGCAAAGTCATAAAGTTGGAAACTTTATGACTCTTGAGAGTATTTTGGCTTTGGATCTAACTTTGGGTGTGAACATTTGGAGTATTAAGCTCTTAATGGGGAAAGGGATGAACAGGGCGCATACGTTGGGTATACTAACTGGTACGTTGTGTGTACGCCGTCAGCATCCCGTAAGCTGCTCAAACAACCGAGTACGCCCCGCGAATAGAAGAGTACGCCCAACATACTCGGCTGGGTGGACTCGGTCGGGTTGGCTCGGATGGGTTGACTCGGCTAGGTGTTGACTTGACTTTTGACTGTTGACCAGGTTTGACCAAGGGTATTTTGCGGAAAATGTTATTAATGGATAATGTTTTGACATTTAGGATTTTGGTTGAGCCAGTATTTGGGAGCAGAGTATTGATCATCTATTTTTCAGATTGTGAGGTGATTTTTCCTCACTGCACTTACAGGTCGAAGGCACCAAGGCCGACCCATTGGATTGATATCCTGTTATACATTGATTTATGATATGCTGAGTATGGGATAGATCTATATGATTATATGATAGTTGTTGATATACGTAGACTGGTAGATCTGTAGGACTACCTGTGATTTTTGGTTGCATGATTACCTGTCTGTTGAATATGTTTGTTATCTGTTATATGTCTACACATTGTGTTGGGTTGAGACTTTACTGCTACGTACGTGAGTCAACATACTAGGGGTATTCCAGTCTGATGATTGAGTGGACCCGAGGGTATTCTAGTCCAACGACTGAGTGGGCCCGATGTATATTGGTACTCTAGTCCGATGACGGAGTGGACCTTTTGTATGTTGGCATTCCAGTCTGATGACTGATTGGGCAGGGGTAATGCAGTCTGATGGCTATGGACCCGTGGGTATTCCAGTCCGATGGCTTATTGGACCCATCATGCTTGTTTGTATATGATATGTGTATTGTGTGGTGGTACTTTGGGGGAACTCACTAAACTTTGGCTTATAGTTTTTTGTTATGGTTTCATGTACTTCCAAGGATCATGGGAAGGCGAAGACGTGACCGTACACATCCTGATTTTTATGGTGTTGATCTTGGGAGACGCTGGTTTTAATTAATATTTTGGAAACAATGGTTTTGTAAATATTTTTATTAGTAAATAGGTTGTTTTGAAAAGTTTAAATTGGTTGTGATTTTTGAGATGTTACACCTGGTCTAAGATGTGATTAACCCTAGCTCTAATTATTTAATGATTATAAACAAGGGTTTAGGTCATTTTTGGTCACTTAACTTTTGGTTTTGTTCTCATTTGGTCACTTAACTCTTTTTAAGTTTTAAAAGATCATCAAACTTTTGCCTTTGTGCTCATTTAGTCACTTAACTTTTGGTTTGGTCACATTTAGTCACCTAACTTTTAAAATTGTGCTCATTTAGTCACTAAACTTTTAAATTTTTTTAAAAGTTTGGTGATTAAATGAGTTAAATTTTAAAAGTTAGGTGACCAAATGAGCACAAACCTAAAAGTTAAGTGACTAAATGTGACCAAACCAAAAGTTAAGTGACTAAATGAGCATAAAGTCAAAAGTTTGATGACCTTTTAAAACTTAAAAATAGTTAAGTGACCAAATGAGCACAAAACCAAAAGTTAAGTGACCAAAAATGACCTAAACCCTATAAACAATTAGGTAACATATTCATGCAACTAGATTGATCGTCTACCACGCAGAACTTGATTAATAGGCAATATAAACTAGAACTTCAACATGCTAGAATTTTAATTATCAGAAACAAGTAAAATCAACATATATCATCCATAAATTGAAACCAATACAATAAATCAGGTTCATCTTAACCAAACAGAAATATAAGGTCTTTAGTCTCTCATAATAGCATAAAAACACACTAAATCAATGCAATTTAAACTAGACATGAGTAATGCTTAGCAAACCGAATAGATCTATGTAGAATTCTTCTACATCTCTTCAACTCTTGAGCTCCAATCGATTCCTGATCTTCTCCAAGGTTTCCAGAGGGTTTTAGTCGCAATCCCTCTCTGGAAAATCAGCCAGAAGTCTCACATTCGACCTAATGTTCGAATATATATATATATATATATATATATATATATATATATATATATATATATATATAATTTCCATAAATCTGATCACCACGACGTGGGGATAGGTGTCATGTCGTGGGCATCTTTTAAATCTCGTATGCGGCAAGTCATCGGAAACTTCTAGGTCAGGACAGGTGTCACGTCGTGGCCTTTAGATTGCCACGTCGTGGCATGCAAATCTGTACGAGTTCTATTATTTTTTTCCATGCTGCTGCTAGCTTTGGCGGCCAAGTTTCTAGCTTCTATCATCTTTGGTCATTTTCCTTCAAGAAAGTCATTTTTGGCTGCAAAGTGTAATTCAACTCAATAAGTACCAAATATCTTTGCAAATAACCAAAATATAACTTAAAATATATTAAAATACCGTCTAAAATATATATAAATATGAAAATATCAAATATATTTGTGTTTTGCAACTTATGTATTGTAAATATTCTATTTTATGTCGATTTTTAAAATGAACGAGATGGTTAACAGAAGATAATGAATCTTTACATAGCAACTCATCTCCAAAAGTTATAGTTATCTTCTTTGACTGATGGTAACTTTTGGATATATCAATATGGTTGTCTTCTTCCACGATATTTTATAGAAATTTGGAACAGATTGTGTAATTCGAACTATAGAAACAACATCGATAGATAGACTCAAACAAATAATTATATTCAAAAAAATTGCTGGGTTCGAAATTTCAAACTTATTTTTGTGGAAAATAATAAGTTCGAAACTCATATTAGAGTTTGCAATTTCAGAATTTGCTGGAAAAAAAAGTCAAAATATATTTTTTTAGAAAAAACAAATTCACAATTTATGGTAGATTTTTAAACTAGTCATTTTTTGAACATAATAGTTATTTTTATATTTTCTCAAAATTTTAAAATCTGTTTTTGAAAACTGGGCTTTTGATGATTATTTTCTATATATAATAAAACAAATAAGGGAAAAATAGTATTTCTGTTGTTTCACTTATTTTGAATGTACAACGTGTAATGCATATAGTACATTTACCACATCTCACACGAAAACCTCCACAAGAATGAAAGAACACGAAAGTTGTACATTGGTCCAACACTAAAATGGTGGTAGCATGGCATGAGAGGGTGAAGTTTGTTATGCCCCGCTTTCGCTAAATTGCGCCGGTGGTCCACGTTACCCAGATATTTTATGTTTCCCAAATTGCCCCTTCCTCGGCCACCCTCACACTGCCTTTATTTTCTCAGCTTTTTTCCGAACGGTTCTGGTGCTATATATGGCCTCCGTCACTCTTATTATCTCACTCTGTGTGTGTAAGTGTATGTGTGTGTGTGTGAGAGAGAGAGAGAGAGAGAGAGAGAGATCGTTGCATACTCGTTGTAATTGAAGATTTGTGGAACAATGCGCAGATCAGGAGGTGTCGTTTGGCTGAAGACGGTGGTGTTAATGGTGGCGGCTGCAGCGATGTTAACCTGCGTGATGTGTAGAAGTCCGGTGCGCCACCTTGTCGGGGGGAAGGAAATGTGGAAACCGAATTATAATTACACTGATTGGTCTCGTGAGGAGACGTTCTACGTCGGCGACTGGCTCTGTAAGCAACAACTCTTTGTCTCTGTCTCTAATTTCACCCTTTGTTTTGATCTGTCGTAACATCCAATTATGATCCGTGATGCAATCTGTCCAGTAATTTTTTTGGTCTCGATGATGAATCATCGAATAGCTAGAATTCTCATCGAGTTTACGAAATTTGATTTTTCGTAATTCAATGACAAATAGTCGAATGTTCTTCGTATGCATAACATTTTACTTTGATTCTGTGTAGCTAATTCTCTGCGTTCAACTTTTTGCTTGTTCTGGATTCCTTTACTTCAGTTTTATTACATTTTGTTTATCTAATCTGTCTTCACATTCAAACAATGATCGACCGAATGGAATCCTAATGAACTCTCTAAATTTGTTGAGATTTTTTCTATTTCCTCGTACTTCTGAATGTTCTTCGCGTAAGTTGTTATTAATTTTGTTTAGTTCTTTTGGTTGTTCTTCATTCCTTACTGTGTACATTACATCTACTTGCATTTTCATCAGAATTTTCTTCGACTTAATTATCTCTCATCAATCAATCATCGAATGACATAATCTGTGCAATAAATTTCTTTCTGAATGAGGTATCATCCCATGCCAGGAGAATTCTCATAAACTTTCTATATTTGTAGTTATTGTCATTAATTCCTAGCAAACTCTTGAATCTTCTTCTACCAATATACGTATCAATCTTCTCTTTGCTTCTTTTAGCAAAATATTCTGTTCTCAGTTTTATTCGATTTTTCTTATTCTGGAATCCTTATTCAGATCTGGATCATACATATAACATATCGTCAAGCAATTCATCTCTTCTTCTTCTTCTAAATCACATTCAATCGATCTGTTTTCACTTTTTCCAGATTTCGTATACGACAAGCACATGTTCAACGTGTTGGAGGTGAACGAAACCAGCTACAAAAACTGCACAGATCCAGGATTCATCTTCAACATCACGAGAGGTGCTGGACGTGATGTGTTTGAGCTCACTCAACCAAAGCCATATTACTTTCTTGCAAGTGGAGGTTACTGTTACAATGGCATGAAAGTCGCTGTGAATGTGGTTGAATTCATTCCACCTCCGGCTCCTCAGCCTTCTCCGGCCAAAAGTGGTGGCACTACAATCGCCGGAATCAGTTATCCTCTTATCTCATCAATCGTTATTGCCACATGGGCTGTTTTCATCATGAATCTATGAAGATTATTCAAACAGGTACAATTACAAATTAATCATATATAGCTATATAAATTTGGAAATTATATATATAGATATAATATTAGATCATTGGATTGGATTACTAAAGTGTTTTAGATTTTGGAAAGTGATTATCGTACTTAATACTTTGTTCTTTTTTATATATATTTTAATAGTACTAAAAATGCAATGTGCACATTATTTCTGTTTTTTAAGCTGATATAATTTTATCTCGAGAGCTAATTTAGAAGATATAAATTGCCTGATTATATGAATCTTTAATAGAAAAGATTCATACTATCTCATTATTTGTTAAAATTCAATTTTTTTAATAGATTGCAAAGTTGATAAATGTATAGTTTTATCTTGTTGTCTACATTATTTATTCACTTTATTGAATTTTCTTTATCAAAAATATGTAAACATGCTAAAAGCTTATAATGAACCAATTAGATAGGATTATCATAAACAAAAATATATATATTCTTTAGGTGTTTTATGAAAATTAAAAAAAAAAGGTAATTTAGTTTGCCTTGTGAGATTCAAATGAAATTGTTTTATTAAATATTTATAAATAAAAATGATATATACCATTTTATGCGGCATAACAAACATATATTTTTCGTTAATTCCAATGAAATGAATTGTTACTTCTTGAACTCCATCATATACCAAATACGCATCGTTTACCTTTTCTTTCACATGTCTAATGCAGTCCTCTTTTAACAGAGAGTATGCCACACTTCAACACAACAAAAGATAAAGGAAAAAAGAAACATAGGTCATAAAGAGGAAAAAAACATAAATTATAATGGTATATTTGTAATTTATTTTTATTTTATAATCATGTATGTGTTTTCATTTACCGCAGATTTATATTCAAAACTGGTAATTTTTCGAAAGAAAAAAAAAGAACTACAAATAAGTCAAAATAATCTCTATTATTGTCACTTTTTTAAACAATTAGTTTGTTAGCTATAATCTAAAACATTTTATTAATTCCACTCATAATCTAACTTTTTAGTAAATGATCTGAGATTGTTAAGAAAACCTCTTGGGCTACTTTCTCCTCGTTCGACCAATTTGATATGTTTTGTTTCATCTAAAAATTTTCTTTAATCTTATTCAATTGATCCATTATTGACAACTTAAATGGAATACGTTATGTTTATATGAAACATTGAAGCGTCATTGAATTATTCACTAAAATTATAATATTAGTTGGGCCAATATGCCTAAAGGCTCACAATAAACACTTTTTATGAGTGAGCATGCTTTACATCCAATATGTATCATAAACTCGCTTTACATACAGTCAATGAAGAACAAATATCATGCATTATGTTTTCCTCTTATTATTTTCATTTTTGAAATATTAAAAAGAAAAATCAACTTTGAAAAGGTAGACGGTGATATAACATATATTGTTGACTACATCAAAGCAAGTTGTTTAAATATGTGTGTTGTTTTACATATTTTACATCTCTCACGAATGTTTGAAGACACCTGCGTTTCGTTGAATTAGTTCTAACTTTTTTCTTGTTATATTGTTTAATTTATTATTCAATTGTAAAGAAAACAAACAGACAACTTAAAAACCTGAATGTTGGTTTAAAAACCTAAATATTGGTATTTGGTGGTCATTTTAGTAAATGACTCTTTAACTAAGTTGTATTATTGTGTGAGAATACAAACAAACAGCTTATATGGATTAATGTCCTGTAATTAAAGTACAAATTAGCGTCTATGGACTATAGGAGACTCATAACGACGATTACAAAGGATCACCAATGATTACTTAATTTCCTTTTTGATGTGATTAGACAGACTTATTATTGTTCATGATAGGATGACTAAGGATGAGAGGCATGTGATTTTACTGCTTTCATGTGTTTCTAATGCATGTTAGCTTGTGTTACTTTTAAGATTTTATCATAAGAAAAGTACAAATTGGCATATATTTATGTAAAAACTGAGGTTTGGTTTTCATATCCTCGTGGAAGTATTGAATTCACCAAAGAAAATAAAATTCAATGCATTTGAAATTCAAAGCAATTAAAATCTTATAGGGTGTTTAGGAAAAAAATGAAATGGAATTCAAGTTAGTATATTTGTGAATATATGGTAAATTACAAAATTCTGATTCAAAAAGTTTCTGTTGGTGAAACAAATGTTTAAAAGGAACCCAAACCAAACTGCCACCACCACAATTTTATTAGGAGAACACAAACATCCTCGTTTCTTATAATTTTCAAAACACAAAAATATTTAAATCAACGTTTTGTTAATCTCTCGTTCATTAAATTACTAGGTGTGAGACCCGTATATTACACGGGTTGATTTAAAAAAAAATTAAACATTAAATTAAAGTGTAAACATAAAATATTTTCTAATGTACAACTTTAAAATAAGAAAGTAAGAAACGTATTTATTGCAATTTAATATCATATATATGATATTTAATACTTTACATATATAAGTATATGACTTTAATTTCAAAAATTGAAACAAATCAAAAATTGACAAGTGGATAATATTTATTTTAAAAATACCACAAAATGACAAGTGTTAAAACTCATAAGAGATTGACATTTGGCAAAAAAAAAACCTTCATTGTTATTATCAAGGAGGATTTCAAAACTATGTAAAGAAATCAAATATTAAAAAATTACATATTAATCTACCATGTCCATGTGTCATTTCTTTTCCACGCGCATAGGGGCATCAATCACTTTGTTTATTTTTTTTAACGGTTTTTGGTTTTATTCATTTACATTATTTAATCATAATTTTTTTAAAGATTTAGTTGTTTATCCGAAACTGACTTTTAAAAAACTAGATAATCCGAATCCGTAACCATTTAAAAAAAAAAAAAAAAAAAACTTAGGAATGTTTTTTTGCAAAACCTTTTGTAAAAAAATATGTTAATGTGTAAAAACTATAAGTAAAAAAGCTTGAAACGTTATAAAAACATTTAAAAAAAAAGATAATGACTTAAAAGGGTAATAAATTTATTGATTTGTACCTATTTGGTCACTGAGTCTTTTTTCGTTCACATTTACCCCTTCAACTTGTTAAACTGTACACATTCAGTGCTTATGACCGACTACTCCAAGTTAGACGGTAAAAATGACTTAATAGGGTAATATATTTCTCACTTTGTATACATTTAATCCTTAATATTTTTGTACACATTTAGTCTTTAATATTTTTTTGCGTAAATTGCAAATATAACCAAATTTCTTAATTACTTTGTGGAAAATAGCCAAAAAAACCCAAATTACAAATATAACCATGAAAATTGCAGATGGCTTAAACCCATCTGCGATTTTAGCATTCCATCTGCGAACGTACAAGTCCCTAAAGCACAAACGTGCTTTAACGACTTGTATGTTCGCAGGTGGCTTTTTTTTTAGTTTTTTTTTTATTTTTTCCGTATAAATACCCCAATCTTTGACTAAAATCGCAGATGAACTAAGTTCAACTGCGATTTCCTCTCATCCCACCTGCGATTTTGCAAACTTTTTTAATTTTTTAATTTTTTTTTTTAATTTTGACAACAAAATTGATGGGGTTTAACTACGAAACAACCTTATTATATATAAAGTTTTACAAAAAATTATAAATTTAGTTCTTATTTCTTTGGAATTTTTGTTTAAAACATCTCTAATAAAATGAATTCTCCAACAAAAACTTTGAAAAATATTTGAAAAATGAAATCGTCCATAGTACCTCTAGAGAGAGTTCTCAAAAAAAAAGTTTGAAAAATGAAAGAAGAAAAAAAAAAAAGTTACGTTTTTATACCTCTGAAAAAGGGGAAATCACATATGTACACAAAATCACAGATAGACTGAGTCCATCTGCGATTTTGATAGCTATTTTTGTAATTTGAGTTTCTTTTGGCTATTTTCCACAAAGTAAATAAGGGAATAAGTTATTTTTGTAATTTTGTCTATTTTTTTTGTTGCAAAATAAGTCATTTTTGTTTTTGTACTCATTCATTACTTCTGAATGATTTCTTTAGGTTTTTCTCACGACATCTTACGTGAAATATTCATTAATGAGGTGTTTGAGACTTTTGATGCTTATGTTCATCGTGATCTCAACTACTTGGTTGCTAAGGTCAAATGTTGTGAACATCATAACTTCTTCATACAATCTCAGATTTTAACGATCTTTATATCCATGCGTTTGTATTTTAGTCTACTACAACTTTCATTTAGATTACTCCCGTTAAAAAGTAATATATTTTTACTAACGATCTTTATATCCATACGTTTTTTTTATGAATGCATGTATGAATGTTTTTTTTAATAAAATCGTAAGTAAAATATATTACCTGTTAACGGGAGTAATCTTAACAAAGGGCTTGGAGATCCAAGAATAAGGCAGTAGATCCAGAGTTTTGGTTGCATTTCTAGTTTGTTTGAGGTAAAAAGCTTCAACCTTGGCTTTCCATCACTTAGATCTTCTTTAGGGCTTGCATCTTGTCATTTTTGGGACATTTCTAAGTCACTTTCAGGATTTGAGTGAATATTACAGTGATAACTTCAGATCTGGGAACATTTGAGCTCAAGAAGCTCAAAGTTACCACCTTTTATTGAGCCATGGCCCTATCCCATGCATTAGAACTCCTTTTATGGCTTAGTTTTGGTGTTTTAGCTTCATAACACCCATGCATGCACGTAAAGTTTATAACTTTACGTGTTATATCGACCCTAGGAGGCCAGATCTATGCTTTGGATGCAATAAACCCAACATAAATCGACTGTATGGACTTGGACTTTGGGGGACTCGACGAGTCGTTCATAGGACTCGGCGAGTCGGGTCATGGTTCCCCAGCCTTGTCTGTTTATGAGCAATATGAGTGAGTCTAGAAGAGGACTCAACATGATGGACATGAATATGGAATTGAAGATCAAAGAACTCGACGAGTTCTAGGATGAACTCGGCGAGTTCAAGGCAATGTCCCAACTGATAGGATGCAGGACTCGACGAGTTCAAGGATGAGCTCGGTGAGTCCATGAGCAAATGTTCTGATATTTATGAAGGAGAACTCGACGAGTCCAAGGAAGGACTCGACGAGTACAAGTGGAAAGTCACGATTCTATCATAAGGAGAAACTCGGCGAGTTAAAGGGTAACTCAACAAGTCCGATCTCGAATTCGAGTTTCTCTGAATTATGGAACTCGACGAGTTGAGTCAACCAGGATGTTGACTTTGACCTTGACTTTGACTTTGACCTGAGTTGACCCTTGAAAGGGTTACGTGTATGAAATGGTAACTAAGGAAGGTTGTTATGTGTAGGAGTTTGAGAGGAGTTGACCTTAGCATCGAGGACAGTTCAGTTACTGCAGGACATCGAGGTGAGTTACCTTCCAATTGAGGTGGGTCTACGACCATAATACCGACCCACTAGTAGGGATTGTTTGTCAGGTAGCTGTCTTTGTGATAATTACCTGGCTTTGCCACTATCTGATATGTTTTATATACTATTATGATATGATGTTAAGTGATAGTGGTAGTAGGGGGAATAGTCCCCATGTTACGGTTGTAAGGACCGAAGGGGTAGGTTGGGCACCCCGGTATGCCTGACAGTATGATTATGTTATGTTATTATGTGGTAGTAGTAGGCGGTGAAGTAGTCCCCGTAACCGGTAGATAAATCGGAGGGGTAGGTCGGACACCCCAATATGTCTGACAGGGGTAGGTTAGGCACCCCGATATGCCTAGCAGGGTAGGTCGGGCACCCAGATATGCCTGGCAGTATGTTTATAGTATGGTATGTAGTATGATGGGGGAACTCACTAAGCTTTATGCTTACAACTTTCAGTTTTGTTTTCAGGTACCTCTTCTTCGAAGGGGAAGGAGTCGGCACGATAACAACGTATCACACACACACACAGAATTTCCGCATTATGAGATTCTTGGGATTGTACTCTGACATTATTACTATTTTATGATATGGTTTTGAGACACGTGACTATGTTTTATGAAATGATATGAATCGATGATGTTTTTCAGTAAACTGTTTTATAGGTTACTTAAATAAAAATAAATTTTTTGGTCTTGAATTTTGGGATGTTACAAGTTGGTATCAGAGCCTTGGTTTGAGGGATTCGGACACACCTTCAGGGGTGTCTGGACTCAAATCGAGGGTTTGAAAGATTTTTACAAGAAAATAGTTATTCTATAAATTAAGGAGTTTTGAGAAAGAACAAGGTGTGTGATGCTTCAATCGGCCGAGCTCAAGTAAGTTTTCCCTAAGATAACCATACATGTTATGTTATGATATGATATGATTATGAGAACTGCATGCTAGATTAGGGCTGAGGATCTAGGAATGATGCCTTATATGCCTAGTGTATATGTATGAGAACTGCATGCTAGATTAGGGCTAAGGATTTAGGAAGATGTCTTATGTGCTTGCTATATGTGCTTATTGAATTTCATGCTAGAACTGATTAGTCAGTGATATGATGGCCTGAATAGGATATGCTTGGTTTGGTTACTCAATGCTAGAATGCTGCTTGCTTGTGCTTTTAGGAGTTCTAGTTATCTTTAACTAACTAGTAAACGAATACGTTAAGTTACATATTGTGAGGACTAGATAATTTCAGAAGGTTAGGTCTAGCCATATTACGCAGCTCTTGTTTGAGTCCAACCGTTGTAGGGTAGGACCTCTCTTTCGAAGAATTATCTGGTCTTAGTGATATGTAATGGTATTCGCAAGCTAGTTAGGTAAAGGTAGTAGGGGTTCCTTATGCAGCTGATGGCGGAGAGTAGGTCAGAGAGTTACCCTAGGGTAAGCCTAGTTAGAGATTAGTGCGGCAAGCAGTAGTAGTAAAAGGGACCTGGTGAAGTCAAGGCAATCCTTGAGGAAAGTACGGATAGATGTGGAAGGTAGTATGGGCCCGTACTACTAAAAGTAGAGGATCCATACTAGAGTCAAGGAGGGCCGAGATAGAACCAGGGAACTTGTAGTATGTGAGACATCTTAAGGTTATGTATGACCCTGACGATTATGTGTTTTGTTTCAGAATAGTGATGATTACGTGACACGGAGGGGGAGGTTCAGGGTCAGGATCACGTTCAGGATCAGGTTCGGTATCGGGTGTCGAGCCAGTTGACGAGGGACTACGAGAGTTCATTGCTTCTGAGATCATGAGAGACATCCTTGAGTCAACCCCGATGATTTTCGGGTCGATCAAGGAATGGATTATCGAGCTGATGGAGGATCGCCTCAGGGCATTTCAGAGTGACATGGTTGCCATTCAGTCAGGGACACGCACAATCTCCTTCAAGGACTTCAGGGGATGTGGTGCGCCAGTCTTCCACGGGGTGAAGGACCCCATTGTTCCCCAGTGATGGATCGCAGACATGGAGTCTGCTTAGTTGACGAGCTTCTGCCCTGAGGGGTCGAAGGTCCGGTATGCTGCAGGTTGTTTGAGGGACCGAGCTCGAGATTGGTGGGAGGCGGTCAGTGATTCTTTGGGAGCCCCAGCCATTAAGGCTATGACTTGGTCGAACTTTATGACCAGGCTTAGGGCTGAGTTTGCGCCGGCTGTAGAGCTTCAACAACTGGCCAGGGAGTTTATGGATATGAGGCAGACGACGGAGACGGTGGCGGAGATTACCGCCAAGTTCAGGGAGAGGGTCTTACTGGTACCTCAGTATGCAGGGGACGAGGAGACGCGGAAGACCCGATATCACGACATGTTGAGAGCTGACATTCGGCAACATGTCAGCTACTCGGCATGCCCGACATTGGATGACATGATTGCGAGGGCGAGGGAGAGGGAGATTGAGATTGAGCACATCCGAAAGAGGAAGGCGGAGACTGAGCAGGGTACTGGGGTTTCGAGGAAGCAACCCAAGGTGTTCGACTCTAGGTCGAGGGGCCTTCAGGGTCGGGGCCGCTGCGGGAAGTGCGGCAAGCCACATGAGGGGGTTTGTATACTAGGGTCATCGGGCTGCTACAAGTGCGGCAAGACTGGGAACTTGGGCAAGGATTATACTGCTCCTACACCTATCTTCCAGACATCAGACCTGATTTACTTTCATTGCAATCAGATGGGCCATAAAAAGGCCAACTGCCCTAGATTGACAGTAGCAGCGCTAGTGGTGGCACCAGCTCCAGCGACCCTGCGGATTACGGATGGCCGACAGGGCAAGACATATGCTCCGATGGTGAGGAGTCGAGCCTTCCAGCTGACTGCCGAGGAGGTGCATGCCGCACCTGATGTGGTGACTGGTATGTTTTCTTCTCCCTAACTCTTATTTCATGTCGATTATGATATTTACGTACTGTGTTTATGTGTTATATTTAGGATCGTTCCATGTGAACGGCATCCCAGTTCAGGTGTTATTCGATTCGGGGGCTACCCGATCATTTGTCTCTCTTGCTCTTAGCAAGAGGTTTTTTGAGTCTTCGGGGATGTTGGATTATCCCTTAGAGGTTGAGCTTGTGGATGACTGATATGTCTGAGCATCAGAGGTTTTCAAAGACTGCGTGTTGAGGTTGTATGACGAGCGTTACCTCGTAGATTTAGTTCCCATTCCATTACATGGGAACAAGGTTATCATAGGCATGGACTGGTTGAGCCCTAATGAGGCGTTGATCGAATGTGCACATCAGTTGGTGCGTATCGGTACCATAAGTGGGGGAGAGCTGATGATTCAGGGTGAGAGGCCACAACGAGGACCAGCTTTGTGCTCAGCAGCGAGGGCTAGGCGCTACCTTCAGCAGGGTTGCACAGGGTACGTCGCCTACATTATGGATACCCGGGATACAGGTAAGGCGACCGTGAGTGATGTCCCAGTGGTACGAGAGTACCCGGACGTACTTCCAGAGGAGCTGCCCGGGATACCTCCGGAGAGGCAGGTGGAGTTCCGGATCGACCTAGTCCCTGGTGCGGCTCCGATAGCCAAGGCACCATATCGGTTGGCTCCTCCCGAGATGCAGGAGTTGTCTACACAACTACAGGAGTTGTTAGGCAAGGGATTTATCAGGCCAAGCAGTTTTCCTTGGGGAGCCCCAATCCTGTTTGTGAAGAAGAATGACGGGTCGCATCAGATGTGTATAGATTACCGGGAGCTGAACAAGGTAACGGTGAAGAACCGTTACCCACTCCCGAGGATTGATGATCTCTTCGACCAGCTACATGGGGCATCTTGGTTTTCCAAGATAGATTTACGTTCAGGCTACTATCAGATGAGGGTCAGAGACGAGGATGTACAGAAGACTGCGTTCCGGACTCGCTATGGCCACTATGAGTTCGTGGTGATGCCCTTCGGGCTCACCAATGCTCCTGTCGCGTTCATGGATCTCATGAACCGCGTATGCAGACCGATGCTGGATCGGTCTGTGATAGTTTTCATTGATGACATCTTGGTTTATTCCACGATGCGGGAGCAGCACGAGGAGCACTTGCGAGAGGCGCTGGATACCTTGACGAGGGAGAGCTTGTACGCCAAGTTCTCCAAATGTGAGTTCTGGTTGTGTTGGTGCATGGAAATGCTCCACAAATAATGAGTGTTTATTAGGTTGTATTTTCCCTTATTGTATTTTAGGTGTATTTACTCTCCCTCATATATAAAGGGAGAGGTGGTCACTTTTGTTGTAATGCACTTCTCAGCATGTAATCTCTAGAGAGAGAGAAAGTTTGGTGGGTTCTCCCACCCAGGGAGAGTTTCTCTCCCACCATGTTCTTCATGCATTAATATTATTATTCTCTCTTGTTCTTAGTCTTCTTCAACGAACTCATAATATGTTCTTCGTGTTCATACTTACAAAAACACGATTAATCTCGAGATATCTTACTTCCGCATCCACCGTTCGTATAAAAATGGGTCTCTACAATTGGTATCAGAGCCGTACCATGAAGGTTCAAGCGACTAGTCCAAGGGAACGACTCCCGTTCGGTGATTATCTTGTGATTTTTCCGTGTTTCTGCAAGAAAAAATTTCAGGTTTCAAACCGGAATTTTTTTTATGAAGTTCGTTCTTAATTCTATTTTCTGGGTGATTCTTACTTAATAAAATAAATTGTTGCTGCTGCTGCTCGTTCTATTTGTTGCTGGAAAAAGAAGTTCTTAAAAAAATTATTATTTTTTGTTGTTGAAGAAATGAAGAAAAATGGGAGAAGAAATTATTTTTGTGGTCTCCAAATTGTTGAAGAATTTGCTCCAGGAGTTCTTTTTCTTGGATGAGAAGACACAAAAATTATGGGCTTATTATTCTTGAAGATAGTGGAGGAAAGCAAACTTTTTCTAGAAGATTTTTTCTACAGCATGTTTATTATGATCATCATAAAAGGTATGATATTCATACATTCTACCTTTTATTTGTTGCTGTGAATCTTCAAATTAGTGCATATGGACGTGTTTAAGTGTTTGCATAAAGCACTTTGTCCTTGTTACTCTTTTGGGTAAAGAGTACTCCACTTTTCAGTCCCTCAAAAAGACAAAAACCATGTGACATTGTCCTTTCCCATCACCTTTTGTCCCTAAAACCCACCTGCACACTCTTCTTTTTGCCTTCCCAAGACCCACTTTTGACCTAGAATGCTTTATAAAAAGATTCTCTTATTAAAATATGAATAAATGGCCTTTGCGATACCATTTTTCATGGAAAAATAGCATTTTTCGTCATCTGTTCAGCCCTTCTCGGAGCCCAGAACCGCAGCCAAAAACTGCCTACCGGAGTCTCCTTAGAAGCCTACCTGCAGCCCCTACTTAGCCTTGATCTGAGGTCCTCTCAGGTCCCATCCGCAGCCTCGGTCAGTAGCCCTAGAACCGCAATCAAACCTCTTATATTGCCATCGGTTCGGATCTCTGCTGGCTCGGACCGCAGGCTCCCTCCTCGGTTCGGACCGCAGGCGCTCCACTGCAGTCTCGCACCGCAGCCGCTTGCCTTCCATTGCACCGCATCCAAACCATCCGCAACCTAGCTCCATCCGAAGTCAACTCCCAGACCCGCAATCAGCCTACATCCGAAACCTCCATGACTCCGGCT